TAATTCCCCAGTTTGAAAATGCATTATGACTGGAGTTTTTATTATTTATTTCAACTCTTTGATACCTGTTTTTGAGGTATGATTTGATCCATTCATTAGCTTTGCCAGTTATTCCATAGAAATTTAATTTCGATAGTAAGATATCATGATTAACACAATCGAAAGCTTTTGCTAGATCACAGAAAATCCCTCCCACAATTAATCTGTCATTGAGAGCACTTAAAATATCGTTAGTTAGTTCATAGGTTGCTTTTTCTGTTGTTAGGTCTTTCCTAAATCCAAACAAAATAAGGTACCATGGGCTTTATTTCTTTATCTTGAATCCCAGCAAATCTTCAGAACTGTAAGAATGTATACACAACATATTGGACGCAATTGACTGTAATCACCTCCACTCATATGATGAGAGATGATAAATTCTGAAGACATAAACACGACCTGTTTTAGCAGTATATATGACTTCCTGTAGTTGGTGCATGGGACATTTCATTCATTTCCATGTTTCATATTTGGGAATATGGAACTGAACATCTTGTAAGCAATAGTTTCACTGTAGTATTTGAACAGAATTACTGTGAAAGTATGTTTAATACAGCATGATCCATTTAAATCCAAACCCTAACAAAAAAAAAGGTACATTTTATAGGTAACTTGGTGCACAACTACTAAAGCATATCAGTCCATGATTATGCAGTTCTACTTGTTACTTGAACTTCAATCACAAGAAATACTGGGGATTCTTGATTGGACTCAGGCAAGCAAAGGGACTCATACAAGGACCCTCTACTAAAAGAGCGAAGGAAATGTTGAAGTTAAACAGGAACCAGCTACAATGGGTGGTAGGACTACTTACAGGACACTGTCACCTTAAAGGACACCTCTTCAAGCTGGGACTAAGGAACTTGTGAGAGGTGTCAAGAAGAAAATGAAACAACCACACACATCTTGTGCGAATGTGAGGCCTTAGCTTATTTAAGATTGTATCACTTGGGTCAATATTTTATGGAACCAAGTGACTATTTCGATGCCCCCAAGTATAAAATCCTGCGCTTCAGGGGATAATAAAAAGAGGAAGCACAATAGATCACTGTGGTCATGGTGCAAGGGCCAACCCTTGTACATTCATTCATTCATTCATTCATACTTGAACTTCACAAAAGAGACTGTTGAATTTTGCAGGAGAGCACTACATGTCATGCAACCAGACAACAGACATGCTGAAGAGATTTTTTTATACAAATTCATTTTTAAGGGCTTATGGCCACCCAGACAACTTGATCTCACATCCCATCTATCTCTGTGGTGGTTTCTTAAAAAATGTGTGCCAAAAAATCAAACAAGGAAACAACTGAAGGTGAATTTAAAACACGAATAGGAGAATTGATGCATATATTCAGAACAACGGAGAATACGTCTAGCATGTTTTGTGAACGTTCATTTATGTTCAGTGAGATACAATGTTTACATTTGGGTATTGTTTTAAATGAATCATAATCTGTATTCCTTCATTTGTCCAACATGCACCACCACACACTTGAGTTTCTCAACCAGCAGTAAATGAACTGTAGTATTATTCTTGGTTTCTATTCTAAAAGTCACAATAAAAGACCACCTGCAGTGACTGTGATATTTAGGGCAGGTAAAAGTTAAAGCTGTCCTTGTGCTTATTTAGTTAAGCATTATGCCATGAAGTCATGGGGCAGTGGAGGTATAGCTCCACCATTCTCGACCTCAGCACTAGATGGAGGTGAATGGTCAGCTTCACACTCGCTGCTTTAACCCCAGGGAAAGAGCCACTAGTACCCATGCAATAGGGGGCTGGGTAGACCCCAGAGCCAGTCTGGATGCTGTGGAAAAGAGAAAAATCTTGCAATGCCAGGGATCAATCCTGGGGGTTCCATCCCATAGCCCGTCACTATTGCTATTACTGATTCTGATTAACATTTTCAATTAACCAATGAAACAACAAATCTGAATAGAAACACCTGTTAATTAAAGATAATTACCAATTTATTATTAAACAAATGATGTACATAACATTTCAAGGCTGAAACTTTCAAATCACTTCCTAGTGCTGAGAGAGACCAAATTACAGGCATTGATATAAATCTTGTGGTTAGAATCTTAATTGTAATAGCCAACAATAAGAAATTATTGTATCATATATGAACAGCAATATCAGCAAATGTGTATATTTTAAACTGGACTTAGTAATCTGAAGATCTATATATGACATAATGCTATGTATCTTAACTGTGTAATTGATGAAAAACACTACTAGCAATTAATTACTACAATTGATTGAGAGAGCAGTATTAATTTTATATTAGAACAGAAAGATTATGAGCACAGTAATATTTAATAATTGGTTAGAGAGTCGTAACAGGTTTCCACAATGTGCAAGCTCCTCTCTAGGATGGAGTAATATTTTTTAGTTCTAATGATTCTTGTTTTTGTTGCAAGGGGAAAGTTGTGGCCACTCTTTGAATGTCATTTACTTGAAGCCTGTTTATGAAATTAGTATAATTAAGAACTTCAAGTGTCTGAATATTTGGCTTATTCCTCTTAGAAAATATAATAAAGCAACTGTACAAAGTGCATAAACAACAAAAAACAGAAATTAGATATTATTACTATATGTCCAATACACAAAGCATACTCAGAATTACTGGGTTTTTGACTTTGTCCATCATCCAGTATTCTAGAAACTGGATCTGTTTCTGTCCTCAGGTGGGTGCGAGACATCTATTCTAAGGGACCCAACAGAGTAGGTGTCTCCCCACTTTCCGAAACGTTGTGTTTTCTAGTTTCTAGAATACCGGACGATAGACAAAGTCCAAAAATCCAATAATTCTGAGTACTATACACCATTGTCAGAACCTTTTAGGATCTACACAAAGCATACATTATTTTTAATCATAATGGGGGAAAGGACACAATATTTTGAACCTCCATTGCTTAACTGGTTCTATGTACTTACATTAGTGCTATAACTATATTTCTGCTCTATTTATGTACAGATCCATTCAAAAACACAGAAAGCTCAATGTAATTAGGATACACATGTTAGAATTGTAAGGTGGTAATTGACTGCTATTGTGAACATTTTAGTTATTTTATGATCAGAACACTGAAAGGTTTGTTGAACTGATGTATGATAATTTAAATGTATAATTTAACTGAGCAGCAAGAGGCACAAATAATTGGGATACTATGAAGTGGAAGTGTGTATGAGCCGTGAGTCCCTAGTGATGAAAATGCATGATAGAATGGACAAAGTTGGAGTAAAAAAATAATAGGACTAAGGAAAATTCAGAGTAGACATTCCTTCTGAACATCCTACATAATATTTAACTTGAAATGAATCACATCACAAGTTGCTGTTTGGTAACATTTTGTAGAGTGCCTCCTGAAATGAAGACTTCTGATCTCTACCTAATTATGTGATAAGTGCAATTTCCAAAGTGTAAATGATAGAACAGATATTAACTCAGGAGATTAATGCATGAAACTGGTGTTTAAATTATTTTTATTCAGGTGAAATGCTATGCTTATTCAGCAAAGCTACTAAACTGTTTTCTCTTGTTTCATATCCATTTAGTGCCTTCCTTTACAGATAGTCTTACAACAAATGTATTCCATACAAATCATATCAGTACCCATGAAGTCACAACCAGATATATACTACTGGAAACATGACTGCACTCATTCAAAATAGTCTAAATAATTTAATTTTGGAAAGGAAAATTTAGTATGTAGGACTTGAGGTTCTCACAGTGGTTATGAAGAGTTCTATCTTCTGGAATATAACGCTATGTAGTCTATTGAAAGTCAACAGACATTTCAGAGGAACATATCACCTCCATCTTCACGAACAAATAAGCCAAGTAAGATACCAGCGTGAAAGCAGGTGACAAGCCAAGTAATCAGCTGGCGAGGAAGCAGGATAGAAATAGAAGACTGGACCTCAGTTCCTACTGGCTCACCATGGGACAAAATGAAACTACTGGGCTCTCATATGACCCCCAAGTGAACTGATTGGAGACAAGAACAGGAATTTAGGATGGTCCTGAAAAGGGCCCACCCAATTACTCAGCTTGCCACCTGCTCTCACACTGGTATCCTGCTTGGCTTATTCAACCCGGAAGGTGATACGTTCCTCCGAAACAGGTTACCTTTTAACAGACTACACAAACTTATATCCCAGAAGATAGTACTCTTCAAAAATTCAGTAGTCTGATTAGAGCTTGTTTTATGAATCCTGGTAACAAACAGTTGCAAATATTTTGAAAGAACCAAATCAATGTCTGGGGAGGAGAAAAATAATTTCCATGCCCTGTAAAATTTATCCCTGTAACAGGTCTTGCTTTATGTTTTTTTACCATGATTCATCAAACAGATCTGATCACAGTAAGAGGAGAAATTATTTTTCACTTGTTGCTAAATTCTTAATTTATTAAAGAAGTCATCATACATAAGTTATGTAAGTGCAATAATCTAAATATGTAGTTTCTGTGACAGTAACAATAAGATTATTTGCATAAGGGAAATTGTTACTTCATTTTTAATTGTTAAGGGTGCAAATTATCATTATTAATACCCACCATAACAATCTGAAATAAAAACATTAGTTTACAGTAATGCATTGTTTTACATTTAAGAACACCCTGGAAATGGTTCAGTTCTGTTTTTTCTCAAAACAAACTGTATTTTGCGATCCATATCCTCATTGTAGATGGCTTTACACTTCTCAAAATTGACTCTGCGACGTGTCTGAAATTGAAAAGGGGCATGGTAATATCCAGCTCAAAAGTGAACTCTGGTTTTGAACAAATACTTTTATAGTGGAACCCCCACTTAAAGTTCCTCAATTTAAGATTTTCCATCACTTAACATTCAATTTCAATGACCCCCATGTCAGTAATATCATCCATTTTTAGAAGTTCCTCTATTGTTCAAACACATGGCTCCTCTCATAAATTTAATAAATTTCACTGTAATTTAACCCTCTTCTGTACTCTTTAATCACTCTGTATCCTCTGTATCCTAAAATTAGCAGATAAATTAATTTCAACACAGGTGTATTTGCTATGTTAGGCATGACATCAACCATTTGAATTTGCTGCAGTAATTGTAGCGAAAGTATTGGTCAAGGTTTGTCATCGTCGTTTCTTTGGTTTTTTTTTAATAGAGGGGCAATGTACAAGTAATAAAATTCAGATATTTGGGAATGACAGTAACAAATCAAAATTGGTTTCAGGTGGAAATTAAGAGGAGACTGAATTCAAGTGATGCTTGCTACCATTCAGCTCAGAACCTTTTATCTTCTTGTCTGCTTTTTAAAAATGCAAAAATCAGAATATACAGAACTATAATTTTGCCTTTTGTTCTGTATGGGCGTGAAATTTGGTCTATGACATTAAGGGAGGAACATAGACTGTGGGTGTTTGAGAACAGGGTGCTGAGAAGACTACTTTGACCAAATAGGGATGAAGTGACAGGAGACTGGAGAACACTGCATGATGAGGAGCTTCATAACTTGTACTCTTCACCAAGTATAATTAGAATGATTAAGTCAAGGAGGATTAGATCGGCAGGGCATGTAGTGCAAATGGGGAAGAGGAGGAACGCATATAGGATATTGGTGGGAAAGCCAGAAGGAAAGAGTTCCACAGGAGGCCAACACATAGGTGGATGGATAATATTAAAATGGATCTTAGAGACATAGGATGGGGGCTATGGACTGGATTGATCTGGCTCGGGAGAGAGACCAGTGGAGGACTCTTGTGAACATGGTACTGAACTGTCAGATTCCATAAAATGTTGGAAATTCTTCAGTAACTGCACAACTGATGGCTTCTCAAGAAGGTATCAGCTACATGCAGTTAGTTAGCTGGGACTACTAACAAACATGAAACCTCAATACTGTGTTAGATGGTTGATGACACAATCTGGGTGCACAGTAAAATGACTAAAGTACAGAGCCATCTTATTATAAAGTAATTCCATTGACATCTTGTAAAGCACCTGCATGATAGGTATTGGACACAAAATAAGAATTTATTATTATAACTTTCCATCACCTACTCCATCCTGCATTACCTGATGGGGCTTCTCATAGTAACGTGTAAGCCGATACTGATCGAATATCCCCTCTTTACCTAAAATCCTGTTAAAGGAGAGAGAGAGAGAGGGAAAGAATTAATTACAACAGACAAAACAATATACCTGTTCACTAATTATGGCTGTAGTATTGGAACACAGAATTCACTCTGATCAAACCAGGCAAAAGCAAATGCTCCATACTCAAAAGCAGTGAAGCCCACTTTCCAACCCATCACTCCACAGTGTGGTCTGTGGCAGAGCCAAAAGCATGTGATTTGTGTACAGACATACCATTACACTGTATTGTAGGGAGACAAATGACTTCCCTATGCTTTATCCATTAATTTGTAGAATGTACAGCATCACTGACAGGAGCACACTGTAGCATAGTTGGTCAAGGCACTATGCTACAAGCCAGAAGGTCGTGGGTTCGATTCCCGATGAGGTAACTTTTCAATTTTCCTAATCCTTCCAGCCACAATATGGCCCTGGGATTGACTCAGCCTCTTATCAGAAATATGTACCAGGTGGATTCCTGGAGGGTAAACAGTGGCCTGTGCGTAAGGCTGACAACCTTGCCGCTACCTGTCAGCAGATTGCTTTGAAGATATGGGAGCCTCAACCTCTCACACCCCTATGGACCTTCACAGACTGTTACAGGGATAGCTTTACCTTTTACAGCATCAGTGACATGTAGATGGCATTCTGAAGATTTCTACAAGACGTGTGCTAGAATAACACATGACTTAAGGCAGTATGTTAAAAGACTATGGATAAGGCACTGAACAGGTTGGTCTAGCAGTAATGCTGTAGACTCTTATTTGGGAAGCGCTCGGTTCAAATCTCAGCTGCAACGCTTGCTATCGTATAAGGATCTCATGGCTTCCCTCAGTCTCTCCAGGATCAGTTAGGCCATCACTGTTTCCTTCCAATTTATGCTATCATTTGATACTATATAATTCAGATACTGACAGTGTCATAAAATGAAACACAAAACATAATTATGCAGAGACTCAACAATGTGAACACACACAGAAAGTATGGAACTATATAAAAAATGACTAAACCTTGAGTTGGTACCAGTTCACATGGGTTATCTTGAGCCATAATTAAAATGTGAATCCAGTACTGCACATGTTATTTTCTGATGCTAGAAGTAAACCTGTCCCTGTGCTAATCAAGCAACATGCCTTGAAGACACATAGGGCAGTATAAGTATGCTCTAGACCTTCATACTAGATGGGCATGAGTAGCGGACTTCATGCCCTGGCCATCCCGCCCATTGAAGAGGAGGCTGGGTGAACCCCAGAGCTGGTTGAAGCACCATGGAGTAGCTAGGAATATTATATTTTAGCATCATATTGTGTGTGAGTGAAATTTCTTTATTTTATTCTGTCACTACAGTAGGAAGTATGGACACACCATACATTCGTCATTTCTTACATGTTCTGGCTCACTCAGCCACTATCGGGCATTTCGACTTTTTTACGTTCAACTGTATTCATCTGCTAGTATTCCTACATTGGCCAGTGTTTACATATTGGGAAACTGTTTTGTTTAGTAATATACTATAATGCCATTATATATAAAATGGTATGTTCACCTCTAAGATGAAATAATTAAAATCGGTTTCACAACTACCACAAACATGACACCAACACTTCTTCCAAATACAAGGAACCCAAGCAGGAAATGCAATCACAAACCTACAAGCCAACATAACACTTATTACATCAATAAAAGACCAGGAAGAACACCCCAGAAATACACTGGTAGAAGAGACACACACCTAGACACAATTACTACAGCCAGACAAAAAGAAAAAACTTTATAACTGTTTAATTTTAATGATTTAACATTTTAAGAATCAATATCTAATCTTAGATGTGAATAAACATTTTTATATATAACAGCATTACATATTACTAAATAAGGTATTCCAATATGTAAGCATTTGCCAGTTTAGGAATACTAGCACAGAAATGCAGATGAATTAAAAAGTCAAAATCCTGATAATGGCTCAATGAGCCAAACATGTTGCAAAAGATGATAAACGTACGGTGTGGTGATGGAATGAAATAAAGAGAAAATAAAACAAACAGAGTAATGAAAAATCTGTCCCTGTACGGAATCAAACCAGCTCCCCAGTCATCTAGCCCATAGCCTAGCACTATTCTGAATAACTATCCTGGTCTGCCATATTATTACAAATTGCTCAAGTCTTTGAAAATCTGAACCTACAAACATAAGTGCTATACACTTAGCTGAAACATTGTTTCCAGTGCTTCAATGGTAAGTCTACCTTTCTTTTCTACAGAAAATCTACCAAATTAGGCACAGTTTCAGAATGGAATAAGCAGTGAGTGAGTGAGTGAGTGAGTAATGTAGTTAAGTGGAAAAATGGAGACTATTGATAAAACATTATAATATAGTCAACTGATATGGCTGAAAATAACATTCTTTGATATACAATGAATAGTTGCATTATATACTGCATATCCGGATGGTTTTTGTTTTGTTTAGTAGCATTATATAAAATAAAATACCTAACTTTAGGAGGGATAAGTAACTAAGATGATTTGCTAGTGACTAATTAAATAGACCTTCAAGTGCAGTCTTCTGAACTGCAGAAAAATGTTTTGGGGTACTATAGAGCATTAGTGACAGCAGACCATACGATTTGAGTCAACAGCTTACTAACCTCAAATCCAATAAATGAACATCAGGTTTAGTGACACATATAGACCCTTTAATCTGAAGAGCAGGCAACAGAGAGAAGTAAAACATTCTTCCTACGGGTACACAGGGAAGAACTGAGGAAAGTTATATGAAAACTAAAGAACACCTACACATATAAGGAAAGTTGTAACAGATAATAATCCATACATGTAAATCCACTGCCTAAATTGATACGAAAACAGAAGTAAATTACACTAAAAGAACTATAACATGTGTCACATAGAACATCATTGTTGAAGCTTAGCATTCCTGTTTTGTTTTAATGTGAACCCAGGCTCTCAGAGACAGGACAGGAGCTGCTATAGCAGCAGCAGCAGGCAATCAAGAAGAAAAAGGAATGCTGGCCTGAGGATTTTCAGTTGTCCTATTTTACCTTACAAATTCTGAGGAGTTACCATCAAAAGGCCATTGCTATTTCTTCCCCCATCCTTTCCAATTGGCCCTTCACATTCATCATGGAATTTGACACTATCTAACATGTATTTAAAACAAGTAATATCAAAAACTGAATCATGGCACGTTGGCGATAATTAAATTTAAACATTGCAATGGCATTTATGTATGTAATTCTAAAATACTGATGGTCGAACAGTCACAAATTCGTATAAATTGTTGGCCGAACTGGTAAATAAAGAGTTTCTCAATGTTTCAAATATTACCTATTTAAGAGTCTAGCAGCTTCTTCAACATTTCCATTTCTAACCAAAACCGTGCGTGCAATAAAATACTGATGACGGAGACCCATTTTATTTGTTGTAAAGTTAACTTCACATAACCTTCAACAGCTTGTCTCTACTAACGGTTCTAAGAGCTGACTAAGAGGACTAAGAGCAGGGAGAGCTTTATTAAACATCAGTATGTTATGCTTCTATGGATTATGCACGTGTAGAACTGAAAATATACCTCTAGCACCGTCTAGCAAAGCCCCGTGAAACTCCCATGCTATTGGTTAGCAATATGGCGGCCATGACACCTCGGTGCAATGCTGCTGCCATCTATGTTCATTATACATGTTCCGAGAGCACAATCGGTAAGAAGGTATTCTACTTTACCACCCATTTTGAGTGCTCCCCGATCTGCACCCTACAATGCTTTTTTCGCTACTAGCACTAAATACTCCAGAGCAAGGGGGTATAACTCCCATAGGGGAGAGGGAAACATGCAGACCAGCCATCTGTGTTCAGCTACATGAACTAGATAGTCTGGAAATGACAGGAATCGGTCATAATACTTACTTACTCATGGAGCTGAGCCCTTCTTGAGGAGCCGCCAATTCTGCAGCTACTCAAGAATTTTTCAGCATTTCACGGAACCCGAAGGTCCATCACCATGTTCACAAGAGCCCTCCACTGGACCCTATCCTGAGCCAGTTCTATCCTATCCAATCCATACCATCCCATCCTGTCTCTCTAAGATCCACTGTAACATTGTCCACCCACATACGCATTGGTCTTCCCTTTGAACTCTTTCCTTCTGACTTTCCCACCAATATCCTATACGCATTCCTTGTCTCCCCCATTCATGCTACATGACCGGCCCACCTCATCCTCCTTGACTTGATCATTTTAATTATACTTGGAGAAGAGTACAAGTTATGAAGCTCCTCATTATGAAGTTTTCTCAAACCTCCTGTGATTTCATCTCTATTTGGTCCAAATATTCTCCTCAACACCCTGTTCTCAAACGCCCTCAGTCTATGTTCCTCCCTTAATGTCAGAGACCAAGTTTCACACCCATACAGAACCACAGGCAAAATTATAATTTTATATATTCTAATTTTTATGTTTTTGGACAACAGATGAGAAGACAAAAGGTTCTGGACTGAATGGTAGCAAACATTACCCGAGTTGAATAGCCTCTTAATTTTCTCCTGAATCAGGTTTCGATCTGTTATTGTTGTTCCCAAATATCTGAACTGTACCACATTTTCAAAACATCTGTTTCCTATCTTTATGTCATGATTTTGCCCTGCATTTTGGTGATGAGACAGTAACATATACTTAGTTTTCTCAGTGTTTACTCCTAGACCAACCTCTTTACTTGCGTCAGTTAAAGTTTGTGTGTTTTCTTTATGGTATCTACATTATCACACAGTAGATTCACATCATCGGTGTAAACCAACAGCTGATGTGTCCCATTTAATTTCAGTCCCACCTGGTTTCCCTGGACTTTCCTAATGGCATATTCTAAACCAAAGTTTAAAAGGAGTGGCAATAAAGCATCTCCTTGTTCTAGCCCATTCTGAATAGGAAATTTATCAGACAAATATTTATCAACACTGACTTTAATATACTTTTTGTTTAAACACATTTTAATCAACTTAACTAGTTTCAGGGGTATCCCAAACTCTGTTAGAATATTGTACAATACTTCCCTCCTAACTAAATCATAGGCTTTCTTGAAGCCTGCAAATAGCTGATGTACTGTCTCATTCTACTCCCATTTTTTCTCCAATATCTGACGAATGCAAAAGATCTGATCTGTAGTTGATCTGTTGCGTCGAAACCCACACTGATGACCCCAAATAATTTAATCTATATATGGACTTAACCTTGAAAGAAGAATATTGGACAAAATTTTATATGAAGTTGATAGCAGTGATATCCCCCGATAATTACTAGTCAGTTTTATCACCCTTCTTGTGAACTGGTACAATAATAGACTCCTTCCACTGATCAGGAAATTTTTCCTTATGCCAAATAGAAGTAATCAGATTGTGGATCTTAGAATGTAATATTTCTCCTCCTGCTTGAATAAGTTCTGCCGGATTTGATCACTACCTGGCGATTTATAATTTATACCGTATCGGTCATAATGCACCTATCGCAAATAATCGATTTGCATAAGTGTCAGCCAATCAGAGGATCGCAAATTTCGGTTGAAGG